CATTTTCTGTTGTTGGTTCACTTTTTCAGCATCCACGGTATTATTTTAAATCTTCTCAGTCAACTTAAATGACCTTCAAACATGAAGAAGGAATTACTGAAATCTTGTCGGGGTAATAGGGGCCTTGAGCGTTTGTGAGCCAGTGAGACGCTCACATTGCTTCCTTTTGGGAAGGTCCTCTGCACTTTGTGTCATTCAGGCACTTGTCAGACCAGTGAGGAGCCTTCCCCTGTGATCAAAGACTACATTCCCTCTCTTTTTATCTTCTGTGCAGACCTCCAAGGACCATGCTTGGTAGTCACTTACAAAATCAGTGGTCAATGCTAGGCACAATGTCAGATGGCAACCAGCAATGGAGACCATTGGAGCAGTCACACAGCTTAACATTGGTTGAGGACCCTGGGTGTTAAACTCTCCTCCACTGAGGGCTGCTGGCCAATCAGAAGCCACAAGTTCTATGGAACATCATTGCCACCCGGTAGGCAGCTGCTGCTCCCTATATGGCATGTACTTGAGGCCTAAGATCATTGGTGGATTCCATGAGAGGGCGGGATATCTTCTGAACCCTGCGAGAACAAGAAATGTGATTGAATTAGGCAGGAGCAAAAATCTGGATTCCCTGATGTGGGTTTGAGATGCGGAGATTAAGTCAGCAGTGAGTTTGTGGCATATTAGGCCTCACGCCATCCTGTGGCCAGAGATTGGCATCAGGTCATAGAACTGGTGCCGACACAATGGGCCAAATGGCCCCCAACAGTGACTTATTGATTCTGTGAATATATTTGCATCGCTTGAATACTCCATAGCGTAAAACATTTTTTTGTTTATGGCCTATCTTCAAGTTAAAGTCAGTAGCACATGGGAGTCTTGTGGTAAACGGTTCACTTTTGTTTAAAAGCGATATGAAAAGGTTGACTTTGACCAGTTGTGTCTGTAATCAGTTAGTTACCTTGTTGAAGTCTGTGGCACAAGGGAGGAGAGCAGGAGAATGATAGTTTGCCTGGAGACTTGGGACTGACGCGAGAAAGTCAGGTGTCACTTTGGGGGTACGGAGTGGGGTTGGGGGACATGAAGAAGTGCAAAAGGTAAGGGTTCAGCCTAGTGCCCTGAGTTTGGTGGGAACAGTCTGTCAAGTTAGGGAAATGAAGGGCCTAAAGTTAATGTCAGCACTGTCCAAATGTGGGTCCATCACAGGGTTTATTTTATGATGGTGAAGAAATAATGATATAGTTCCAAATCAAAATGGTGTGTAGCATGAAGGTGAAAGTTGCTGAACTGGTAAGCAGATATTGCAGATCAAAGCCAGATCCATTGGAGCTTTGTGTGGCCCCACTGGACCTGCCTAAACTAGTTGCACTCAGGTTGGACAAATGTAGAGGTAGTTGATCCAGTTGAATAAGTAGATTGAGTTGTCCCTGCTACAATATGGATTTCAATTTGAATATCCTAAAGGATATTGCATATAGGAACAGACAACAATGAATATGTGCAACAAGAAAAGGACCAATCATGAAGCAGCTCAATTTGTATTTCGTGAAAGGCAAACCTGGTGCCATATAGATACAAACAATTCACAGAATCACTACAAAACAGAAGGAGGCCGTTCAGCCCAGATCTCTGAGTGACCATTTTACTTAGTGCAATTCTCCTGTCTTCTACCTATAACCACAAACATTTTTCTCTTTTCAAATTATAGTCTAAATCCCTCTTGAGTGCATCATTTGAACCTGCCTCCACCACACTCTCAGGCAATGCCTTCCAGTCCCTAACTATTTACTGCATGAAAAAGTTTTGTCTTACATCACTTTTGCTTCTTTTGCCAATTACTTTAATTTTTTGTCCTTTTGCTCTTGATCCTCTCTCAAGTGGGAACAGTTTATCCCAATATACTCTGTCCAGAACTGTCCTAATTTTGACTACCTCTCTCAGATCTCCTCTGTCTTTCAGCCTTTTCCAAGGAAAACAATCCCAAGTTCTGCAATCTATCTTCACAATTGAAGTTCCTCAGCACTGAAACCACTCTCTTAAATCTGTTTTGTACTGTCCCTCAGGCCTTCACATCCTTCATACAGTATATCTTCCAGAACTGGATGTAATACTCCAACTGAAATCATGTTTTAAAACAATTCTATATAACCCCCTTGATTTCGGACTGCATACCCCTGTTAATAAAGCCTGGGATTGTGTATGTGTTAATTGCGTTTGCAACTTATCCTGCTGTCTTTAGTGACTTATGCACATATACCTCAGGTCCCTCTGCTCCTGTACTTACTGTAGAGTTGTAACCTTAGCTTAATATTGACTATCCATGTTCTTCCTACCTGAAATGAATTACCTCAATTTCATCCGCCACCTGTCTGCCATTTCAACAATATTCTATGTCCTCTGAAGTTCTACACTATTCTCCTCAAGGCTTCTTCATTTCCAGTTTTTATATCACCCACAGATTTTGAAATTGCATCCTGTATACCAAGGTCGATGTTAATATATATCAGGAAAAACAAGAGTCCTAATAGTGACCCCTGGGGAACTCTACCACAAACCTTCCTCCAGCCTGGAGAATAGCCAGTAGCCACTACGCTGCTTCCTGTCATACATGATGCTACTGCGCCCTTCATTCAATGAGATATAACTTTTCTCACCAGCACTGTATCAAAGACCTTTGAAAGTCCATACGCACTATATCAACGGCATTGTCTTCATCAACAGTCTCTGTTGCCTCTTCAAAAATTTCAGCAAGTTAAATAGACATGACTTTTTTCCTGACAAAATCCATGCTGGCTTTCCTTAATTAACGTGCATTTGACAATGTGGTTGTGAATCTTTTGTCAGATTATTATTTCTAGAAGTTTTCCCTCCAAAGTTAAACTGACTGCCCTGTAGTTAATAGGCTTGTCTTAATCTTTTTCAAACAAGAGTATAATCTGGAGCATTGAAAAATTATGTTCACTGTTTCTGTAATTTCCGCTCCCACTTCCCTCAGAATTCTTGGACACATTTCAACTAGTCCTGTGCCTTTAAGTACAGACAGCCTATCCAATACTTCATTATTATCAGTCGTAAACCCTAAAAATAATTCTTTCCTCTTTAAGAGTAATACCACTAAAGTCTCCAAGGATGACTTGGACAAACAAACTGCTGTTGGAAAAGATATAAAGTAGAAAAATTAAATCAAAACAGTAAAATCAGGAGCACTTACAATTTCGACCAATACCCTCTAGCCACTGTAGGTTCATATGAAAGGGCCTCTCTTGGCAGATATTAAAACAGAAAGAGGTCCTAATTTATCAGACTGTGAAAGCAATTGGCCAGTATGAAGCAATTGTTCAAGACAGAATTTAATGTAATACAGAACAAGTTTATACCCACAAGGGGCAGAAACACTATTTGCCAAAAGGACAGCCAGACTGAAGAAGTAAGAGACAATATAAAGCTACTAGAGAAACCTCACAAAAATGAAAGGAAGACCACAAATGGGCAGCATACAATGACCAACAAAGGGTGACAAACAGATAGTAAAAGGTATAATAAAAAAACTTGAAAAGAAAATTAATATAAAAATAAACACTTTTTTAAAAACAATAACATTAGGAAAGAAAAGAGGATCGTCAGGGTGTCATGTGTGTCTTTTGAAATCTGATAATGGTGATTCTGAAAATGAGGAAATGAAAGTGGCCAAGGTAATTGGAAGCCTGATGGGGGGCAAGTTATGAAGTAAACGCAAGTGAGTCTAAATTGAGAAAAGACTGAGGTGGTAATGATCCGGGCTCAAAACTAAACAAGCCTCCAACTAAATTGAAAGTAACATTCCATCTTCTTCCTTTAGTCAAAGATTAAAAGACTCAAAGACAAACAGAATTCAAATGCCTCAAGCAGAATAAAATTTAGAACACAAATCCCCCTAACTCTGGAAAGAGATAGTTAATAAAGGATCAATTATATATTGAGGAGGAGAGTTCAAATTAATCTTGGATTTCGCTAGACTGTTAATCCAGAGACCCAGATAATGTTCTGGGGACCAGGGTTCGAATCCTGCCATAGCAGATGGTGGAATTTGAATTCAATAAAATATCTGGAATTAAGAGTCTAATGATGACCATGAATCTATTGCTGATTGTCGGAAAAACCCATCTGGTTCACTAATGTCCTTTAGGGAAGGAAACTGCCATCCTTACCTGGTCTGGCCTACATGTGACTCCAGGCCCACAGCAATGTGGTTGACTCTGAACTGCCCTCTGGGCAATTAGGGATGGGCAATAAATGCTGCCTAGCCAGCGATGCCCTCATCCCGTGAATGAATAAAGAAAAACAAATCTGAAGTTACCCAGTTTAGGCAGTTGACTATTCACGTGTATTTTTAAGATAGGTTATTAAGTAACAGCAATTTAGAGATGATGCATTAGAAGCATAGCCAGG